ACGGGTGCCACGTGTGGAGTATGATCTGCTTACCCTTCCGTAGCACCTGAGATCACCCCCAGTGTAGGGTTCGTGTTGCTCAGTCTTTGGTTTTCTATGTTGTGTTTTGTGTACTGTTGTTTGTCTTTTTCTTTTTTAGCCAAGGCGTTGTCAGTTTATTTTCGACTTTTGAGATGGAATGTCCCTTTGGTATCGCTCGTCTTTGGTTAGAAAATATATCTATTTTAGCACAAATTGTACAAAAATATTTGCACGGCACTGATTCTTTCGCTAAATGCAATTACGCTCCCTTTTAGAGATCCTGGCTTCCTAGCTATATCCATTTTCACTCTTAATTAAAGTGAAATTCTAGTCTGGATTACAAAAAAAAAATGATTTATGTGGTTCAATCCGTTCTCCCAAGATGCATGTTTGTAACACATATTAAGAAATAATTGAAATTTCAACAAATCTATAAAATCTCATTTTACTTAGAGCATAGAACTTGCAAAATAACATATCAGGTAGAAGACAAGTGTGTACAAAACACTCGGCTTTGTGTAATTTACTGAGTCGCATTGAGTTACAGTACTTAAAGTGGCTAAACTTGTCGTTGTTTGTTTCATGGGATTGTTTTTCTTCGGCTTGCACTTTTAAGTGTCATACTGTCCTTTTAAAAGTGGTACATGTATATAACACTACAGGGAGATAACGTTTTAATCACGTTCTTTTGTTAAGGAAATATTAAGCTTCTCAATGATCAAAATTAGTGTTTGTCAAACTGCTATATATCCAATGAATTTTTTTCCGATAAAGTGTGTGGTTCAAGTTTATTGAAATTTTAATATTTTTGTGAAAGGGTCAAAGTAAATATTTAAACGAGCCAAATTAATTTTAGTCAAGGTGTTCGGTACCACCTTAATGAGCCAGAATACATATAAAGTACTCTAGTTTTATGTATAATATATTGTGATTTTTAGATCTGTTGTAATTTCCTCTAATTTGTCATGAAACATACTGAATCTGCTCAAAGTACACCAAGTATTAAAAAATTACGAAGAAAATGCAACATTCGCTATAAATGAAAAAACCAAACATTGATAAGTATCTTACAAAAGTGGAGCGACAAGTGTCACTTGTCTAACTCGAAGACATCGTCAAAGACCAAAAAAAAAAAACTTCGGTTCTGTAAAGTCTCAAAAACTGAGATACAACAGAACTATAATAGAAAACAATGTTTTTCAAGACAAAGGATAAACAAGGCTTTTTACGCCAGAGACGACAAAGACATTAAAAAATAAAAAATAAAACAACAGTAAATGCAACACTGATCATGAAAACAAAAACCAAGAGAGACACGAAACACTTTTAAAAACCTAAGGATTAACTAAGTTAACTACTAAAAGACACGCAAATTTGTTAAATAGCTTCATTTGACTAAATTGATATAGTTGTCTGATCTGTAAATTAATCGGCTGTGTCCTGTTCCCGATTATGACATTTTTACTGAGTGTGGATTTGCATGTAGAGCAGGAGACGCTGCAATTTCAAACATTTTTTGGAAGATAAAAAAAAGAGGGAAGAAAACATAAACTGAGGGAATCGCTTGCACAAAAGGAGTAAGTCCGTATAATGTCGACAGGGTAAGCGTCTCATGCATATGCATGTATAAACCGCCATGCGAATAAATTGACACTCAGTCAACATTTTCTAATAAGGAAAAGGAGGCAATCGGTATCTAAAGATCTAAGACCGTGAAATCATGTCACTATAGTGATTTAAGGCACAGACACAACTAATCAGTCCACCAATTTGTATTGTTATACTTCATGTCAAAATGCCAGATTTTAATTGGTTAATACGAGGGAGACAATTCACTCTATCCCATGGTAAATACTCAATTACCCTTCACGGCGACGCTTGATCAAGTGTGCGCTTTAATAAATACGGATGATTGTTATGTACAGTTGACAAAACAATCTGCTCTATCACCCTCTCAGCTATGTGTTATTTATATAATGGTGATTGTAAAACTTTGAAGTTTCAATTTCAGTCAATCTTTCTCATCGATGTGTTTGGAATGTTTTTGTGTCAGGAAAATACACGAGGTTAAAAAAGATAACACGTGGTAAATTTGTATTAATTTTAAAAGGGTATACATACACATTTGTCATTACATCTATTAGAAGCACACACTTATTTTTATTTATAACAGACTCATTTTTTTTTCATTTTTTTTTTTCATTTATTAATCTAACGAATAATCACAAAAAAACTATGAACAAAATAGTTTGTTTTAAAGAAGATGTAAAAGGTATAACAAAAATACAGAGCTCCAATGTAAATTAAAAAAGGGGAGGTCAATAAAAAACTGACAATATCAAACGTTGTCAACCAACGGAACGAGAGGAAAACAACTGTTATATTAATGATGTCTTTTCTGAAGAAAGTGATGGGTTAAACCTGGTTTTATAGCTAGCTAAAATTGGAAAGCACAAATGGAAGTACATAAACACAACATAATTAATCTTTTATCAATATATACATGTCTAATCTTGTAAATACAGAAGTTACTAAATGATAGGTCTTAACTTCCACATTAAGTGTTATTGAACCAATTTTCCACAATACTTTCCCAAAACCACTTTTGGACTTATCGTTTTATGGGACGCTGTGGGCCATACTTTTCAGATGAAAAATAAATAAATATGTTTTTATAGTGTAAAACATAGTTGATAACATCTACAAAATTTGGTCTCTGTTGGATAGTTGTCTCATTAGCAATCATGCCACAGCTTCTAAATCCATATTAAGACTGCATTCGTGTTGTGTAATATTTTTAGAAATTGTCAAGTTTTAACAATAATCCTCAGATAAATGGTGCACTTCAATGCAATGAATAGCAGACTTTTATGTATTAATATAGACGCAAAAAATTACTGTCAAAGTTTTGAGTGCCTTAATTCGAATTTTGTGCACGATAAGAAGCTCTTTAATAATAAACTTTTGATGCTTTGAGTATTAACAATTTATGCATGTCAAAGTAATCTTAAAGTAGAGAATTGCAAAAAGTTATATTAATGTTCCTGAGTTAAATTTCATCCATAAGTCGTTTTACATTGCAAGGCAAATTAATTCAAGTCAGGTTCTATATTAGATTAGTTTACAACTCAATTCTAAAATGCTTTTATTTTTGAAAAATACGCATACACTATGGGATAACATATGGGTTGACATTCTGATTTTCAGGGACACCATTATGAGATTAAGAGTAGCTAATTCTTAACAGATATGAAATAAAATCTTATATTTATGATGGTCTGGGTGGAGGGAAGGGGGTCCCTTATTTCTTTATTATTTATTTTCTTATAACATAATTTCTTTTCTTTATTTATTTTTCCCATTTTCTCTTTTCTTTATATCTAAGCACCCCACTATTCCCTATTTTTTTTATATTTCTGACTATTTTCTCTATTCTTTATGGTCTTGCCCTTTATTTTGAACTTAATCCATTATATTCTTATTGCATTGTAGTTATTTAATGTACGACTTTGCTACTTTCGTATAACCTTTTATTGAAAATGTCTGTACCTAGTAAGGACGATGAAAGATATTTTCGGTTAGTTGATATGGTCGAGCATTGGTTTTGTCAGGTTTTATGGACTTTTTTATTTGACTTTGATTTTGTTTTTTTTTTTGTTACTATTTTTTATAGTAATTTCGTTTTGTTAACAGTTCATATTAAAATAAATGTTCTAAATCCATTATTGCATCCTCCTTTGATAAAGCTTGCCTTGAACGATCATTATAGCCATCATACCAAATTGTAGAAAAAAAAAAACCAAAGTGCAACCGGTTTTTGTGCGTATTTCTCAAGATCACATGCACATACCCGTCAAAGTACACTATAAGTATATAATTGGCAAAGTGTAAACAGAAAGGCGAATGTTACCAAACGAACATTCAAACTCATAAGTCGAAAACAAACTGCCTATTGCAACTAATTTGTACAGTTTGTGCTGTTACACCACTGTCTTAGGTTAGGGGGAGAGTTGAGCGTTCACAAACATATTTAACCCCGTTACATTCTTTATGTGTTTGTCCTAAGTCATGTTCATTTGTATGTCATTTTTGGTTTTTGTAAATTGTTTTGTTGTACATTAAGCCGTTTGTTTTCTCGTTTGAATTGTTTCACATTCTTCATGGAGGGGCCTTTTAAAACCGACTTAATGGTATGGATTTTTCTCATTGTTGGAGGTCGTTCGGTTGCCTATAATTGCTTACATCCAATTCATGCTAAATCTTTTGGTGGATAGTTGTCTCACTGGCAACTGGCAATCATACCACATCTCCTTATTCTTATATTGGAAATACCATGACAAAAAAAACGATAAACGACGTAAATACAAACAACAATACACAAAACATAACATAGAAAAGAAGACTGAGCAACATGAACCCCATCAACGTAAATACGGATAGAAAGAATACTGTAAATTCAGAAATTATTGCGAAGTGTTCATTAATGTGAATCACGTGACTAGTATCGCAATAATAAGAACTACTGGAATTTTGATATTGGATGCATATATAATGTATTCAGATTTTACTGAAATCGCAAAAATTGATCTCGCATTTTTGTTGTTTCTTCAACAATCGCAATTGTAAATGTACGATATAATTTCTGAATTTACAGTACTAGTATTCAATTATCTTATTTGAGTAAAGGTCACAAAGTTGATTTTATAAAATTGCAAGATGTATGTTTCATAGAGAATAAATGATGTTATCTAATTAAAGTATCCATCTTAGAGTTGTAAATATCAGTACAATGCTTCATTTAAAGGGTCAAGAAAGTTTAAATAGAATTTCTGACTGACTAAAGATTTCGGTGATAACGAAATATGACGCTGTATATTAAACTGCCTGATGAAAACATAAATTTCAATATTTTATAGTTTTAATGAACAACTGCGTATTGTTCAAGTCCATAGTGAATTAGAGCACGTAATATAGAATTACAAAATGTCGTGATGAAATCACTCACAAAGGTACAATTTACACCAAGGAAAACATTAATGTGAATATGAAATATAATAATAGTATATCCTCGTTCTGGATAAATTGAGTGGACACATCTCATTAGGATTATTTCTTTGTGGGCTGGCCGTTTATTGCTATAAAAATCAACTTGAAAAAAGGTAAGACATTTTACTTACAATGTTGGATACATAACATGTTAATAGATGTATCGTAGGACAAAGCACTAACTGAATTTTCTGATATAAATGTACATTAACATACTGCAGATGTTTGAAATAGTTAAGCTTTTGACATTTTATCTAATAAAATATATCTGAATTTGTCATTTAAGTTCCCGTTTGGTTAGGCAGAACTCTTATGAGGTCACAAATGATATTACGACCCATGTTAACGTATTGACAATTTTGATAAACTTCTTCTCAAAGGTTATGAATTTAACATTCAAATAAGATCATTGAATATTATGTCTATTCGTACTTATTTCTATCAATACTAACGTTGATTTTGTTTTGATATATTACTACGGATATTACATGTATATTAATGAATAATGTCCCGTCCGTTCGTGCGTCCGTCCGTCTGTGCGTCCCTCCGTCCGGTCTAGTTATCGCTCTCACGTGTACAGTTCTTGTCAGATTTTTATGAAACTTATATCATATGTCTTGGACGAGTTCGAAAACTAGTGCCGATCAATTATTTGTAAAAGAGTTATGCCCCTTAGAAACATTAATTATATGGAAAATTGCATCGTTAGCGCTCTCATGTGCACAATTCTTAACAGCTTTTTATGAAACTTATATCATAGGTTTATATTAGCAATGTCTTAAACGAGTTCGGAAATCAGTGCCAATCTATTATTTTTAATAGAGGTATGCCCCTTGGAAATATTGATTTTATGGAAAATTGCAAGATTAGCGCTCTCATGTGTACAATTCTTGCCAGAATTTTATGAAACTTATTTCATAGGTTTATATAAGCAATGTCTTTGACGAGTTCGAAAATCAATGCAGATCAATTATTTTCAAAAGAGTTATGCCCCTTGGAAATATTAATTATATGAAAAATTGCCTGATGAGCGCTCTAATGTGTAAAATTCTTGCCAGATGTTTGTGAAATTTGTATTATAGGTTTATATCATCAATGTTTTTGACGAGTTTGAAAATCAGTGCTGATCAATTATTTTTAATTCTCCTTCTTTTTTTTCGATGTAATTTATTTTCAATAAATTTTATTGGATATTCTAACTTAATATAAAAGTTAATCAACTGCCGAAGCAGATAATATATCTAATAAAAAAGGAGCAGTAAAATGTCTTTAGCAAATAATTTGATACTAGAAATTGGAGATGGATAAAAAAGTAATATAATACAACAATTATTGACTTTTGATATCAGTTGATACATTGATTTATCAACCCCATAGATAAGACATTAACCCTCGGCCTTTGGCCTCGGTGAATATCATATGATATTATCAAAAGTCAATAATTGTATAATATATAATTATGCACGTTTCCTTATTTTAATGTCACGAACGTTAGAGAAATATTACGTTGCCATTCTGTATAGCCTGTGTATGTGGTCGATAAAGTATCGATTGGATACGAAGTCTGGGGTCCTCGTAACCTATTACAAAGGATATTACTGTTATATTATTATTGTCAGTACGCCTGAAATAGAGAAGAAATTCATTTGATTGGTTGTTATGATTGTGTCACAAAGTATTGAGGTTTTTAAATTTCTATTTTTAGATATTTTAAAAATAACTATGCAATATCACTTTTCTATAGCACCTGAGATCCCTCCTGGTTTTTTGATAGGATTCGTGTTGTCCGTTTTTATGTTTCTATTGTGTGTCTTGTGTACTGTTGTTTGTTGTTTTTCGTTTCTTGCGATGGCTTTGTCATTTTGTTTTCGAGTTTGTATATCCCTTTGGTATCTTTCACATCTCTTGGAAAGACAATTTCGTTAGCTGTTTGTTTGTATCTTAGTACTGATCGGAAGAGTCGAGTCCTTTGTAGCTGATTGTTACAGTTTGTTCTCACCTACTGCTATCACACCACTGTACCGGATCATGGATAGGGTTTAACGCTCGCCAATATATTTAATCTCTGTGAGCTGTATGGTAATTATCTTATAAACCTGTTATCCATTGGTTTTTGTTGGTTGGTATCTGCCATCACTGTATTTGTGTTAGTAACATTCATGCCATCGGGTGCCTTTTACTCAACACTGTAGGCTTACAATCACTGTAGTTGTTCGCATCTTTGGGCTTTAGTTTGTTTTATTTTGTATTGACAATAATGTCACATTACATTATTCTACAATAAAACACTTAATGTCTAAATGTATTTCTGTTGATTAAAGGTAACACGATGACGGACATTGCAAAGTTTTCATTCCGTGTCAAACAGCACTGTAAAATTCATGCAAAAATCTTATGGATTAATGTTGTATTTTTATCTCAAAATAATTTAGTGTATTGCGATAAAGGATTTTTCTGCTGCTTGATTAAGTATTGTTTAAGTACGTTTACAGGAAATTGACACTTTGTTGTAAAGATCAATGTAGTGCTTAGGTGGTAGTTCATAATCACGTGCTCTTTGCTATATAATTGGCAGCACATTCCTAAACTTAAATGCATTTTGCTTGGTTGAGTTCACAATGGACCACATAGAAATTTGGTGTTAATCTGAACTTTCTTTACTCATTACGGTAAGATTTTTATCTAAAATAAGTAAAACATCATTATATGAAAGTTACATTGCATAAATTGGAGAGAGAGATATATCAAACGAAATAGATCTATCATAATTTCATATCATGAATTTAAGCATTTTCATGAAGATGTTAACCTGAAAAAGATGCAACTAATGTTCTATGATTATATATTCTTTGCTATCTACCTTAATGCATTGTGTAAATCAATAAGTAAATTCGATAAAGCCACAATATGGCACCTTTTTCAAGCTGAAATTTTCAAATAAGGTTTTATTGACCATTAACGTTATGAATCATAGCTAACACAATGAATAGATAGAAATAAGGTATCTTGTTGAACATTTACAAATCAGCGTTCTTTTTATAATGTCACATATATAGCAAATTGTTATTGTCTTTGAAATACTGCAGAACAATGAAAACAGGTCAATTTTCATTGGCTGTTAGACCGGAAACACACAGCGCATACATCAACACAAATCAAATTAAATGTGGTTAAAATCCGGACGATGTGTCATCTTTTACCAATATTTCGATATTTTACCTACATGTATTTGGGATGTAAGTGGCAACCCCATACAATAGGCTCGACACAAATAGTTCTATTTCACTTTTTCATATGTTTATTTATCAATTAAAACACAACTTCTACATTTGTAGTCTAGTCATAAAACAATAAACTTCATGTCTGGGACAAATTAGGGGCCCTACCGAACTTACTGCTATCGAAAGTAAAATGGCGGATGTCAAATGTACGTAACAGTGTAACACCTTAAAACTACTGAATATTTGTTACGATTCAATGACAAACAAATTAAATTTTGTAAATGACATGGTATGTGTTCATTCGAGATTCTTGTCGCAATTTTGTCAGTTTCTAGTTATCTGATTCTCACAGGATTAAAATCTCTGTACAAGCTACATTTGTGTATGTAGTGGGTTTGTAAAATGTAAACCATTCGAAACCTCTTATCAAAATAAGAACATAAACGACATGGAAAGCAATCCTACTGATCAACACAAATCAATTAAGCCTAATGTGGTATATTTTATCTTTTAATTACAAAAATTAATAATTATATACATTGTATGTACACCTGAATGAATTAATTATGGTATCTCAAGGTATTCGCAAACCTTTTTAATGATTTTAAACAGGTATTATTATGTCCTTTCTAAAGAGGAAAAGAAAAAAAAATGTCTGTCATGACTTTCAGCTTGTTAGTATTCACTGAGTATTTATTCTCAGCGTGTCAGATAAATTTGTGTACTAATCAATTATTTTGGTATTTTAGACTTGTAATCTAATAATTGCATTACAATTACGTAGCTAGTAGAATGTAGTTCAAGGGGAAACTGACACTGATGTTTTGACTTTTTAATGAACCATTCAATCAACTACTTCTGTTTAATTGCGATAAAAGGACGGTATTGTTGTCATGTTTTTTTTCTTGAGAAACCAAATGCATCACAAGTTTAAAAGTGTTTAAAACACTCAATCATTATAAAGTGTTTCCAACTGTTATCTTTTTCCATTTCTTTTACTATTACATTGTATTTTCAACCACTCTAGCATTCTAACGTATTTTGTCAAATCAAACATTTCATATCACTTGGTAAGCATGGAACTAGATCGCAGTCTTTATAGTCGGTAAGAATTATATTGAAAGAAATACAGAATGCACTTTAGAATAACAACATTTTGTCAGGAATACGAAACTTTTATTTAATTGAATAAACCATTTAATCTTCTTTTGGTATCGAATACAACATAGTTGCCAAAACTGATTCCGTTTGACAATGCACAGATTTACAGAAAAGATACTAAAATTTCAAATTTGTTTTGTATTGTAATAGATACATTTTGGATTCGATTGTTTCGTAATCAATGAACATAAAAGATTTCGACAGGTTGTCCTTTGTTTACTGAATACCGAAGGGAATCCAAGCTAGATAGGAATATACTAAAAAGTAAAATCACAAAAATACTGAACTCCGAGGAAAATTCAATCGGAAAGTCCCTAATCACATGGCAAAATCAAATGACAAAACACATCAAACGAATGGACAACAACTGTCATATTCCTGACTTGGTACAGACATTTTCAAATGTAGAAAATGGTGGATTGAATCTGGTTTTATAGCGCTAAACCTCTCACTTGTACGACAGTCTTATCAAATTCCATCAACCTTAATCTACCAAAATAAACATGCTTCTAAAGTAAACAAAGACCGACTTTGTCATGGTTTACTTCAGGTAATTTAAAAGTCACAAATCGCTGAAGAAACTTTATGTTAATAATGTTACTCTAAGATGAACGAGCATATATTGATGTTTGCCTCTTTTATTTTCACAATTTTAAATTAACACGTGTATTTATAAAACCGTTGAATGCGATTGGCAAAAATCGATGTAGAAATATATTATTAGTTCAAAT